GCCTTGAAAAAAATGTTTAATCTTATGATCATAGCACTCAATTGGCAAATAGATTTCTGGACAATAAAGCATACTGTATTAAAAATACTGAGGTCAGGCACAAATGGCTCATGCCTGTAATCCTAGCTACTCTGGAGGCTGCAATCTGAAGATTGCAGTTGGAAGCCAGCCCAGGTAGGAAAGTCCGTGAGACTCTTATCCCCAATTAATCGCAGAAAAAGCCAGAATTGTGGCTTAAGTGGTAGAGCACTAGCCTTGGCCAAAAGGAGCCCAAGAACAGCACCCAGGCTCAGAGTTCAAGCCCCAGGAAGGGCATGCCTGGGGATATGGTTTAGCAGCAGAGCACGGGCCTAACATATACAAAACCCTCATTTCAATACCCAGAATGAGAAGGAAAAAAAAGCTTTGCATTAAAAATACATTTAAAAGCAAGATATGTTAGCTCAGAGGCCTGTAATCCCAATACTTGAGAAGTAGAAGCAGAATGACCATGTATTTGAGGACAGCTTGGGTTACATAGACCATCTCAAAATCAAAAATATCTAAAACTCAGACAAGAAAAAAATGTTGGCAAGGATGCAGGGGAAAATATTACCTTAATATACTGTTGGTGGGAATATAAACTATTGCAACCATTATAGAAATCAATATGGAGGCTCCTCACAAAAATCTAAAAAGGTATAGAAACAGCCTAGATACAACTGATGAAAATGAATGAGAAAAATGTGATGCATAATGGAATATAATTCAGCCATCAATAAGAATAAAAATGTCATATGCAGAAAAATATGTGTACCTGAAAACCATCAAATTAAGTAAAATCTGCCATACTCAGAAAGACAAATGATGTTTTCCCTAATTAGTGCATTAGACTACACACACACGCACACGCACACACACACACACACACGCACACACACAGGATCATATGTACTTATGTGTGTGTGTGAGATCAATCTGACTAAACTATGGTATATGCACATGTAAGACACCATGATGAGACTTCTTTATGCAATTATGTATACTTTTAACAAAAGTGAATGTGTCTGGTATAAAGGCATTACTGGGAGGGGAACAGATAATGAGGAGGGGGAGGGAAGAAGACAAATATAAACCAATACTTAATACACATGTGTGAAATGGTACAAGGAAACTTTCTGGGACTAGTTTGGAAAGGGGGAGAGGAGAAGGGGAATGGCACTTCTTGTAATCAAGAAATCTATCAAGGGAAAGGAGAGTCTGGGGAGAGGAAAAGTGGGAGTAAACGAGGGAGGGGGTAACACTGTTTGAAAAGAAATGTACTCGTTACTTACATAACTGTAACCCCTCTGTACATCACCTTTACAATAAAATTAATTTTTAAAAAAATTAAAAATTTTTAAATGTTAAATGTGGATTAGTAGTAGAATGCTTGCCTAGCATGCATGAAGCCCTGGGTTTGATTCCTCAGTACCACATAAACAGAAAAACCCAGAAGTGGTGGTGTGGCTCAAGTGATAAAGTGCTAGCCTTGAGCAAAAGGAACTCAGGGACAGTGCTCAGGCATTGAGTTCAAACCTCAGGACCTGCAGAAAAAAAAAATGTGGCTTTGATCTCAGTTCTCTGGATCTCAGCCTCCTAAGTAGCTTGGGGTATACAGGCATTATACACACACACACACACACACACACACACACACACACACACACCCATACACACATGCATACACACATACATCTCTGTGTGTGTGTGTATATATATACATACATATATGTATGTATATATGACTAATTCTATGTCTCAGTTCAAATTCTGAAACTTTTAGGATTAAGAGAAAATACAGATGCATGCAGTGACAGCTCTGGCTTTCAGACAACACTGAGGGACATGATACAATGTTCATGGAAAGCTCCAACTTACTGCTTGCTCTGTTCACTGGGAGGCTATAAGCAGTAGCGATTGTAAATAAGCTGAGTGGAGATCTACCAAATCATGTTATTTTGGTAATTTCAGGAACAAATTAGATGAACAAGATTTTCTATGCACATCTGAGAGCTTCACCTGATTCCCAACCCTCATGCAATCTGTTCGTAACTTCCTAAAACATTTAAGCACACGCTCATCAACCACAGCAAACAATGCCAGTTGCCTAAACACTGTTCTCTCAGTACTTCTTATTTTATTAACACTGGTGACCATATGCTTCTTTTTAGCCTGGAACCTTCCCCAGCTCCAGGCTGGACCTTCCTTATCACCCCAGTACTCTCCATTCCACTCTTCTCAACAGTGATGTTAGGCAACGAAGTTTTCAAAACATCTCACTAGGGAGACCCTGCGAATGTCCTATGAAAGAGCTACTGGCTGAGTTTTCTTTGCTCATAAAAACAGAACAAGCTGAATATAGTGATGAACACCTATCCAGCATTCAGCAGGAAAGAAAAGAGAATTGACAGTTCAAAAGCCAGCCTGGGCTACGTGACCAGACCAAGCAAGAAAATAAAAACTAGGTTTTAAAAGAAATGAAGGGGTAAGATGGCTCCTTTTCCATGTCTCCTGCCTGGAACTGTGGCAACAATATTAAGCTCATGGACCAGAGAACAGAGAGGCCAGAAAAGGTAGGAAGAAACGTGTATCATCATTAAGTCACTCACTGAAGTAATGAATCCTATCATCTCCTATCTCTGGACATCCTATTTCGGGAGGCAGTAATATTTCTTATTCAAACCATTGAGCTTGGGAAGGGGGACTTCTGTTACTGAACTAGTGGGTAGAGCCTCCTATTTCTGAAATAACACATTTTATAGAGTATATACAGTATATATAGTATATAGAGAGAATATATACATAGTTCTTGTCTTTCGTTTTAAAGCAAAACCTACTCTTATTTTATGTTAAGTTTTTGTTGTTGTTGTTATTTTGCTTTTTGGTGCAAATCCTGGGGCTTGAATTCAGGACTTAGGCACTGCCCCTTAGCTGGCACTCTATTATCACTTGAGTCACAGTTCCACTTTCAGCTTTTTGGTGGTTAGTTGGAGTTAAGAGTCTCATGGACTTTCTTGCCAGGGCTGGCTTTGAACCATGAGCCTCAGATCTTAGCCTCCCAAGTAGTTAGGATTACAGGCGTGAGCCTCTAGTAGTGCATGGCTAGAAACCTGTTCTTGTGTGAATGCTAACTTTACCTCCCTCTAGACTTCCAGAGCCACGTTCCTTGGAGTACAGCACTCCCTGTCCAGAGTAACCTCCTTCCAGCACTGTCAATCACTCTAAGGCTCAGCTCTGAAGAGACCTCTGACATGAAGTTTCTTAATCCCTAATTCTTGACTGAGTCTCCCTCTCCTGGTCTACCACTGAACACAAGATTGCTTTATAGTGACTAACAAAACATTTCTCACTGAAACCTGGGGCTTTTCCTTTCCTGTTTCTTCCATGTCTCCTTTCCTCCATCAAAGACCAAAAGTGATTATAAAAGAAATTCAGAACTCATGAAAATGGTCTGAAAAAAGAAAATACAGAACACAGAAAAAGTTTCTGGGCCTGGACAATGTCCCTGAGCTCTTCAGATCAAGGCTAACACTCTACCTCTTGAGCCACAGCTCCACTTCTGGTTTTCTGGTCAATTGGAGATAAGTGTCTCATGAACTTTCCTGCCTGGGCTGGTTTTGAACTGCAATCCTCAAATTTCAGCTTCCTGAGTAGCTAGGATTACAGGCATGAGCCACTGGCCAGCCAGAAAAACTATTTTTGGGG